TTAAACCTGTACCGAATGGCTATAGCGTTGTTAATTGCCAGCTCAACAGGGGTTATCCGAGTGTCTTTGAATCTTACCTTCCATGCATTCTTGGGCAGCTTCTCAAAGTTCTCATCGAGCATCCGCTCGGGCTTGAACCCGTCCGCATCCTCTCCGTAGACTTTGGGGTCTCGTTGGATCTTGCCGATCAGGCACAGCACTCCCGTATCGCGGGGGATCTCATATTTCCCGCCGAGGAGAACCCTCTCCTCCTTGTTCTCCGGCCGGATGCCTCTGGCAAAGGCAGGAGCTGTTGGAGTCAGACGCAAGGTCTCCCTGAGAACGGCATTGATGTACTTGAGCTCGTTCAGGTGCTTCGGTAGAATCTTCTCCTTCCCGACAACTCTGTCGACTTCCTGCTGAGCAGCGAAATAGGTCTCTGGATTCATGAGCATGTTCATAAATGCGAAGGAAAGCAGGCCGGATGTCGTTTCGTGCCCTGTGACGTTAGCTTTCTACCGTCTCACCTATAGAGAAGAGGGGGAGCTCACCAGCAACCAAGAATGTCTGCATGTTTACCCCAATGAGATCGTCGCGCATACTCTTGCCCGTCTTGGGGTCTGTGCCGTGTATCATGGCGTTGAGCAGATCCTTCTTTTCGGTGGGGTTATCGCGCCGGTACTTGACCAGCTGATCGGCCACGCTCTTCATGTAATCGTTGTCGCGCTGTAGCTGCTTCTGGTAAGACGGCAAGAGGCTCTTGATCATGCCCCCAACCTGGCCTCTTTGACTCCGTGCCGCAAGAGTGTGATTCATTGCCACGACGTAGGGGTCCAGCTTTTCTGAGTAGAATGAGTTGAATCGGTAGTCCATGGCACAAAGGGCTATGGTGTCTAGCGTCAGTCGTGTGAAGTCGTCGGTCACCAGGATTTTGTTGTTGGGGCCTAGCCTCGCCCATTTCATGACCATCTGGGTTGCAATATCGTGCATTTCTGCACTTGCGTGTCAGAGATACCAGTTCCAGCGTCAGTAGGATAGGGCAAATGCCGCCTACCGTCAAACATCCCCGCGATAGCCATGGGGCCAAACGCAGGCATTAGGATGCGGTGCGCCTGGGCCCAGTCCTCGTCCTTCTCAGAGTTTGCAATGAACAGTCCCCGAGCACCTTCTGGACGGTCCTCAGTGAGAACCCGCGGCGGGATCTTGAAGAAGCGCGTCTCGTCGCATAACTCGTCGAAGAGATCGAAGCCGCCGACAAAGATACTGTCATCGCCCTTGAGAACCAGCTTGTAGATGGGGCCGTAGATGTCGACGAGGCGCTCAAGTGCCCTGATCGGGACTTCATCCTGGACATCGAGCAAGTTGCCGATAATGAACCTGGGCGTGGGGCCCGGTATGGAACTGGCCATGGCTGTGTGGTGTTGTAGCAGGACGTTACGTGGAAACGGAGATGGGGTACCAATGTGTTTATGGTGCAAGAGAACAAGTATTATGTGGGTTATGTGCAGCTATGTGGGTAGGCAGAAGCTACGGCAGAAACCACGAAGCAAAAGTTTGGTCGGCGTCTGGGTGGTATTTATCCAACACGAAGCAACACTTAAACAACGCATCGTGCTAGCGGACCGAGGCGCTGACAAGTCGCCCTACAGGGGGCAGAACCGGTGTTAGTGACTTCACGGCCTGATTGCGTAGAATTTTCATGCAATGGAGCCCGGCTACTGGCGATCAATTAGTGTAATCGGTCGGTCAGACGAGGGGTGTCCGATTCCATTTACCTACACGAGGTTGCAGCTTCCAAAAATGGGATGTGTGCTGGGAAATGCCAACGCGATTCGTTGACGATCTGCGAGATGATGCCTCGGCACGATACCGGTAACGATAACGAGGGGCATAAAAGCGATAACGACAACCCTTGTCCGGCAGATTTGCGTGTCTTGGCATTCTTCGGTTGCATTGGTGGCTTGTGCACTGCCGTTTGAGGCTGCCTCGGGTGGCGCAACCTCGGGACCCGGACTTTGGCTGTCTCAGACAGTTCCGTCCTCTCATAGCTGCATGATCGGATCGGGATCAAGCAATGTTCCACGGTACGAGGCGCGCTGACTTGGACGGAACTAAGGTTTGGTGAAGGGCCGAATGCACTGTTCAACCTCTGGTGATTGCTGACGGACAAGAAATCTACCGTTTGGCTTAGATTGAGATGATGAGACCCTGAATTAAGAGGACAGCAACGGTTCAGATCGTCCACTCTATAATGTGTTAATTTTGCAGCCTTTTTGCATTGGAAACTATTTCGGGACAGGACTGGCAAAGGAAGAGGAAGGCACGTTTCAATAACAATTTTTCCTTACCTAATCATCGTGCAAAATAGGGGGGTATGACAGATGAGCAATACAATCGACACGACGGGCTTGCTCACTCTTTAAGAGGCCTACTCTTTAATGTCCCAGGCCGGCCGGCTAACGCTTGCTAAGCAATACCTCCACCCCAGCTAGACTTAGAACTCCATGCGTACTTTTCAGTTGTTGCCATGCAATGTGTGCTGTGCTCTGTGTCTATAATGCTGAGGAGAAAAAGAATCAGTAAGGTACATATGAAAGAACCAACTCATGATCGTAGAAAAGGTGAACGGTAAAACAATGGCAAATACAGACTGGTAAACAAGCATGATGAAAGCTCAGTTCGGTCATAAAATTGGCTTGTTTAGGAGCCTGTATTTTCCATTGTTTTTATAAAAGTCTCGTTTAGCTAGCACTGCGCGCACCCCCTTAACCTAGCCACGTCCAGCAGTACGTTAGAATGAAGCGAATTCGGCGTTAAACTTATCAGGGAGCTGTAGGCTCGCAGCTTCCACTTCGTTAAAGGCTGAGACCCCAATGCCTCCTTAACTTGCTGAGTGGTGCAAGTGTTTTGGGCACCCAAAGGGCTTTCTCACCGATCTTAGTATATTAAGGCCAACTAAAGCGTTGAGAACGTGCCTAGTGTCGTATTTTCGTCTGCCTCAAAGGCAAGCAGATGGTCCTTAGGGTTGATAGTTGCTGCGTTAACTCATATGAAACCATGCACAGTTTAGAGGTCCCCATTGGCTTTAAGGGGCAGAGTGCCGTATAGTGCTATGGAGGCCATCTCCATGGTTAAAAACAGTGACTCAACACCTACCTGGTCATCTCGAATGTGGGTCCGGTTGCCGTGTAAACAAAATACCTAGGTACCTTGCAGTGAAGTGAATGTGTCCTCACGCGGTGGCGGCCCCACCTATTCACATGTCTGAGAGACCATATAGGTCCCATTACCGCACCTCCCTTCAACAAACGGGTCAGCAAGCTCTGTGGGGGGTGGTGTAGTGGTCTGTCCCTGCCCCTCGGACCTTGCTCAGACACTTCATACCGCACCCACGGAGAAAGACCTAGGGTTCGAATACGGTCTGGAGCAAACAAATATTCGATCGATGATTGTCCTTCTGTCCCAGAGAGGAAAGGCATTGGATCAGGGCGCAGTAGCTTCTATACCCGCTCGTCTTGGCAGAAGATGGGAAAATAGGAAGGCTGGGCCGCAACAGATGCGCCGAGTTCTGTTTTTTTTCCTTTTTCCTTTTTTGTTATCATTCACATAGACGATCATTGCTGGCCGCACGACATTCCCCGCTCACGCACGCAGTCCACGTGCTAGAGTGCGGCATGACAGGTTGCGGTACGTGCGTCCTTATCATTAGAGTCGCCTCCCGTCTTCGTCATCCAGCAAGATGCGCAATGTCGCGCGCAGTCTTTTCAACCTCAGAGTGATGCCCACACATTACCAGATGGCGTGGTCACATCACCATTCCGAGACATCACGCCGCTGACGGAGCTAAAGGCAAGTTGCTAAATAAACAACCTAGAAAAAAAGGCAGAGAGAGCTTAGAAGCCTGAGCTCCGTGCAAACGTGCCGGCACCGTGCCTTTTAATACCGTCTTTATTATTGCTTTCTTGTCACTGCTATTACCTGATTAGCTAAAGAGGGGTTTTAGCGGTGAGACTTTCCCTGCAAACTGTAGACTATATCTCTATTTAACGGTAACGACGGGGTTTTATCAGCTTCTAAACACCTTGCCTCGAAGAAGTCCGAGTCGTCTTAAAATGACCACCGCAACAGTCGGCTTGCTTAGGCCAAGGTCACCTTAGTGGTGGGTAAAAAACAATAAGAACAGAAACGGCACATCGCCATAGTACGGATGCAACAAACATGGGCCTGTGGATGATCAGCAGTATGCGGGAGATATCTCTAGTTACGATAAGGCTTTGCGGGTTGGGGGGAAATGCGCGTCGGGATAGGAGAAATCGAAGATCGGGAGAAGTGAGAGGGAGGCGCAGGAACAACAGAGATCTCCAGGTAGCAGGACGGAAGCAGAGGCGGCAAGAAAATGATGTAATCGCCACGAAGACTTAGACCTATACGAGCTCGAGGGGATCGTCGCGGGAATATGTCATGAAGCTTCATCTACAGGCAGCACTCGAACCGGCTATTGGGGGAGGGAGGACATCCTCTTCTCGATGCAGCATCCTAATTTTCTGGGATTGCCAGTAGAGAACACGAGCGCAGCTTATAGATTGAAGACTTTGCTGCATCCATCAGGTAAACCACCCCGTTTTATTGAGAACATCGTCCAAAGCGCCAGTGATTCGAACCAGTGCTCGTACACAGCAGCAGGATGAGCCACACTATTCCCCCAGCATGGGGTATCACACCCATCATGAATTATAAGCGTTTTCCCCTCTGGTACGTCTTAATCGCAGTTCATTACCTGTACGAAATATTGGTTACACGGACTAAACTACAGATGAAGGTTAGCTGAAGTGACTCGAACGATATTAATACATCATCACTGTCGTCGGGCATAAACCAGCAGCAAGTTATGTCAACTAAAAGCCGCTATTTTTTCGTCTTAGATGGTGGTGGTTACAGGTACCTATCTTTTAATCTAAGCGGGTAATAACAGAGATACCTGGAAATAACACCATTTCCCGATCCCCTGTTAAAAAGAAAGCCGATCGAGATGGGACTCGAACCCACAACCTCAGTCTGGAACTCTACCGTAGTAGGAGGACCACACGCTACCCTGTGATGAGACAGTTAGCGCTTAAATGGAAAATGAAACACTTTCTGAGGGTCGATGTTACTAACATTGCGCCACTCGACCAAGCACCCTGCAAGCGACTGCTAACTATTCGCCTTTCAACGCCTTCTTCCCTAAGTGCTAACATACCGTTTAGTGACCCATCAAACTATGTTCTCAACTTCCACCTCACTCACATCGTCGCAAATACTGGTTGAAGTCTTGGCTAATGCCCTCCTTCTTATGCGTCTTTTAGTTTACGTTAGGTAAAAGGCCAAGGTTGGAAATAAAGTTGTGTGTTCCAATTCACATCATTATTAGACTTCAGTTCAAGATGTAGTGTAACTTAAAGCAACCAGCGAAATGCTAGTGAATTTTGATCATTGTCAAGTGTTGAGACTATTTCATTACAGTGCTTTTTGCTGCCAGAAGCATCACTTCCAAAAAATTGGACGCTCACTGGCTCCCTTATAGGAGTCGACATCGTAAAATCGTGACAAGGTGTGACCAAAACATAACAACAACCAACTCATCCTCCCCTCGCTAAAACCCAAATTACCAACCCCGACCAGCCATCTTCTCCTCCGGCTTCAATTCGGCGTTGTTGATACCCTTCATCGAGCTGCCGTGCTCGATGCAAGCCTCGATCAGAGCCTGGTGGTCGGTGAAGTTGGCGGTAGCCTTCACAATGGCGCGGGCTCTCCGCGCGGCGTGCTCGGGGGTCGCATCCTTGAAGATGCCGCTGCCCACAAACACACCGTCACATCCCAGGCTCATCATGAGCGCGGCGTCCGCCGGGGTAGCGACACCACCAGCAGCGAAGTTGACGACCGGTAGGCGTCCGAGCTGGGCGGTCTTCTTGAGGAGCTCGAAGTCGGCACCGATCTCGCGGGCCATCATGGCGAGAGCCAGCTCGCCGCCACCGGGACCCTCGAGCGCGGCCTTGGCCTTTGCAATCTCGTCGTTGACGGTGCGGATGTGCTTGACGGCCTCGACGATGTCGCCGGTGCCGGCCTCGCCCTTGGTGCGGATCATGGCCGCACCCTCCCTGATACGTCGGAGCGCCTCGCCGAGGTTGCGGCATCCACAGACGAAGGGCGCCTTGAAGTCGCTCTTTTGCACGTGGTACTTGTCGTCTGCGGGGGTGAGCACCTCCGACTCGTCGATGTAGTCCACCCCAAGGGCCTCGAGGATCTGGCACTCGACGATGTGACCGATACGCGCCTTGGCCATCACGGGGATGGTGACGGCCTCCTGGATCTCCTTGATCATGGCGGGGTCCGACATGCGGGCGACGCCGCCCTCCTTGCGGATGTCGGCCGGCACACGCTCGAGAGCCATGACGGCGCACGCGCCGGCCTCCTCGGCGATGCGCGCCTCAGCAGCGGTTGTGACGTCCATAATCACACCGCCCTTGAGCATCTGCGCCAGACCCGCCTTGACGGTGAAGGCATCGGCGCCGTCGACCGCGCCGTTTGTGGTTGTTCCGTTTGTGGCCATTTTGTGTGTGTATGGAGGGGTAGAGGTATTTTTGGTACTCCTAAGAATTGGACCCTGAAAATGCCGATAAACTCCTTTTGCACCTTGGGGGGGGGGGGGGGGGGGGTATCAATCAAGCGAATGAAGATACAGGAAGAAATGTATGAAACGTGATTGCTTGCCTCAAACTCCCTTCAAATATACGTGCAACGGTTTTGTCAAGGGAGGGTGGCCAGATCGTTGCCGTACAGTGTGACGCACACTGATGGGCCTCCGGATCGGAGGCCCGGAGCATTTTTAGGTAAGGTGGATAGGTGAAGAGGAGGCGACACACTCCATAATGTGCTCAAATGCGGCGGCGGGCCGAACGCGGGAACAAAGAACAGCCGTTGGTGTCGTTGAACATCTGAGTTTGCTAATATTCCCAAGGCAAACAACATTCCAAATCGTACCACTAGCATGCACCGACCGTTGAGATCGTGGCCAATCGGACGGTCGCGCGGTGCCCATTTTGGGAGTTAATGGCTCGCTCTAATCGTGCCTTATGTGTGATTTGACGAATTAGGCATGTATAACAGATTCTGCAAGCCTTTTTCTGGGAGACAGTTGCAACAGCCTGTTTGCCCCCGCGATCTGCTGTCCCCACGCCGTACAAGTACCCATTTCTCTTACCGTACGATTTACCTTATTCTTAGCGAAGAAAAATCTTCAGCTTGGCGATTTTCCTCCGACACAGGAGTCTGGAGGGGACCAGAACGGCAGAGCCGTTAACGGGAGCTAAGATAGCCAATGAGTGGCGATCTAAATGCGCACAACAAAGCCGCCTGTATCCGGCTAATTCCGCCACGCATCTTGACCCTCGGCCTGTGACTCGACAGTACGATATCAATCACTTGTGAACATAGAGTTGCAGCCCTATCCTTCATTGGTCAATTCGGTCTTTACTTTGTTGTACTTTGGTTCACAATGGCACTCACTGTCGGAGTTCTTGCCCTGCAGGGCGGCGTTATCGAGCACCTCTCTCTGCTCAGAAAAGCCGCAGACTATCTCACATCAACAGGGGCAACCCAACTCAAGAGCAATGACTTTGAATTTATAGAGGTTCGGACAAAGGAGCAGTTGTCACGATGCGACGCTCTCATTATCCCGGGAGGAGAGAGTACAACGATGGGCATCGTGGCTGCCAGGCTAGGGTTGCTTGAGCCTTTGCGGCAGTTTGTCAAGCATGTTTCCCATTTTCCTGTCTCCCTGTGCCCCAAACTTTTCCCTCTCAGCTAATCTTGTATAGGGTCGAGAACAAGCCAGTCTGGGGAACCTGTGCGGGACTGGTCATGCTCGCAGAAACCGCTTCTGCAACCAAACAAGGTGGTCAGGAACTCGTGGGTGGTCTGGACGTGCGAGTCCTCAGAAACCGCTTCGGCACACAGATTGATAGTTTCGTCGCGGACCTCAAACTACCGTTCCTGGGAGAGGAAGAGACACCATTCAGAGGCGTCTTTATCCGAGCGCCTGTGGTGGAAGAGATCATGGCTTCTCAGGAGGCAGCAGAGGGCGTCAAGAGCAAGAGCGAAGACCCAGTAGAGGTACTAGCCACTGTGCCCGCCGGGAAAGCCGAGAAAGCAGCAGCATCAGAGGATATCGTGGCGGTGCGGCAACGAAACGTGTTCGGGACAAGCTTCCACCCGGAGCTCACGCAGGATATTCGCATACACGTCTGGTGGTTAAAGCAGGTGCTTAATGCGGGGAGACACCAGGACCTTGTTTCAAGATAAATTTCGCAGCTCCGTGGATACGTTAGACATGGATAGATGTTAGGTATAGAAAGCGTTTTCAATTCTCTGTTTATCAGACCAAGCAGAGACGTTAGATTTGAGCGGTAGTGCAGATACTATTTAGAATATGCCAGAATTGTAGTCATACAAGAGAGAAAACGAACTACAGATGCACACGATCATTAGCCGAAGACCAATGTTAGATCATGAATGAACTGAGCTATGTCAGGACTAGCATGTGGTAACTCAGAAAGTCCCACTACACTGCGTTAAAACTCGGCAAGAGACTACGCCTCCTCGAACTATGGCAATTTAGCCTGTAGGACCGTCTTGGACTACCGGTAGCGCTATATGATATCGGTAACGTCGGTCGATCCAGGAACAGAAGCGTAGACCTGCCAGCGTACATAAGTGTAGCGGCGCTGACTAATAACAACCTCGGAAATCCCCTTGTGGTGTAGTTGGATATCACGTTCGGCTGTAATGGAAAACATTGTTTTACCGAAAGGTCACCGGCTCGATTCCGGTCGAGGGGACATAACCACTTCTTTTTCACTTTTTCTTCATCCTGCTTTCACCTACGTCTCAACCCCTTTTGTTTTGTCTCCGTCTTACTTCCGTAAACAAGTGCCATTCTTTCTTCAATGTTGACGGCTTCTTAACGTGTTGCGGGTCTCAATACAAAGCCATGCATTTAGTTACGATAAAGTGCTTTAATTATCCTCCCGTATCTTTTATAAAATGTCTTCTAGTCAAAAGAAGTCCACTGATTCTCAGCTGTAGTAAAGATTCTAGCAGTTGATAAATGTGAGAAGCGTGTACATTAAGCAGGCTACGTAAGGCATATCTCCTCAACCACAGGGTCCACGGCAGATTGTGATACAAGCAAATTGCGATTATGGATCTTCTCATGCCTCTTTAATCAAGTCCCCTATTTACATTCTAATTTTGCAGTGAAACTTATTATGCTTTTGTGTGCGTGTTCAAAATGGTTTGCGCTTGATCTCGGGATTTTAGTACTAGTAACGCTACAAAGAAGAGAAACAGGATCTGAAGAGTTGAGCATGAGACACAGTAAATAACAAACTCTAGACTGAGGCAACATGGTTTGCTGTGTACCGAGAATCTTTGTTGTTCATTACGTTGTTCATTTATCCTCAAAGTAGTGATCTTTTACTGAGGTTGGCCTAGATTATTAGCAGTAGTGCTATAACCAGTCGTGGGCGAATATATGTCAAGAAGCAATGGACACCCAGAACCTGTGGGTAAAAAATTACACTCATCTGACCCATGGGTAACTCTTGCTTTCATGGTTGTCAGCGTCAATATCAATTGCATCCTTTTGTCGCTACGCTTTCCCTCAAACTCACAGCTCGAGAGGTAGAGAATACTTCGGGAGTTATTCAAGTTACTCTTGAACATCTTTCGAGGCGAGAACGAGTGTGCTGCTTCGAGACATTTTGCACGCTGATATGGCGTCACATTTTCGGTGTTTTGGGTTGAGAACATACGCGAGGGACATCTAATGTACAGGTACCTGTACCTATTGAACTTGATGATATGTAGGGTACGAAACCAAGGTACACTCGACTGTGTAAAGTTTTCTGGGTCAATTAGATCATCTGTTCTTTATCACACTAACCTTGGAGGCAATGGAGGCGCTCTCTCTATGTGGACTGATTGAGACATCATGCAGTATTGATAATTTGATATATGGACTCCAAATCCAAACATCTTGCAGCTTGTTTGTCTTGAGCATTATGATAAAGTCTTTAGATAGGTACACATAAGGCAACCACGCTATATGTGCTATGATTCAAGTCATGCATGTCA